GTGAGTAGTAGTTAAGAGGTTACTAGAACATAACTGTCTTAGAAACCATGTCATCACTAGTAGCACTATTTGCAGTAATATTAGTAGCCGTGTGTACTGGTGTTAAGACACCAACCAGTATGAGTCTGGATGAGATGGAGCAATATTTGTGGTACTTGACTGCTGCTCTGGGGATCACCACCAGCCAGGTTCCACCTGGGTTACAAATAGTGATAAATAGTGACCAAGTGTGTAAGAAAGACACATATAGGTAACTGTGACACTTATTAAAGAAACTTTTCTTTTACCAGTGACTTCATCAATCCATTGATTGGGCTGATAAAGACCACAGTTTCTGCACATATCTCTTACTTCGTCGCATCTTCTTAGATGCGACGAATTAATCAAGTAGTTGAACTTGCATGTTTTTTTTTTTATTTGTTTATTTTCATTGTCAACGGCCAGGGTATTGAGCTCACCAGCCTCGCGTTGTCGTTAACCCGTAAAAAAAAAAAAGTGGACTGCAAGACATTGCGGCATACTATTACATTTTTCTGACATCTTAACACTGATGAGGCGTAGTAGTGGTGCTTTTTCACTATCATTTATCCCTACACTCTACCATAGAAGCCTGACACCAGGCTGCGAAGTTAGAGAAACTCGAAACCGGTCACAGGTGATTCTGCCTTTTGCTCTTTTTTTTTTGTGTTTGTCTAACAGTTATCTACTTCTCCCATCCTATTTTTTTTTTAGCTCTTCTCTGGTTAAGATATACCTTGCTGTACAAATTCACTTAAAGGTTAGTATTTCAATGGAATTATATACCGACAAGTATGTTAATAGGACAATATATGGTTTATGACATTGAGAAGACGTGCATTGAAACGTCTACTCAATAAAATAATCATAAATCGCATATTATATCTTTTTAATATATTCCATGATTCATTTTCTCAGAACTGTTAACATGTTTTAGATGAATAATTAGTTTAAGGGATGACTTCTTTGATGTATATCCTCACTAAAAAATAAACTTGTTCGTACAGTTGTCAGCAAGTGTATCCCTCTTTCACCTTTCAAATGGTTTCTAGTTTTTTCTTTAGCGATGTTTTATTTATCAGGAGAAATGTTAAGCGATTAACCTACTTCTAGTGCACCAGTACTAGATTTTCACCCCATTTAAAAAGAAATGGCTGCCATTGTGGTCCAGTATTCTCCATCTACTCCATTATTGACTTCAAACTCTTATGTTGTCATCGGTATCATCTTATCTTCAGTAACTGCTTCGCTATATTCTCGTCAACCTTCAAAAAATCCAGAGTCAGGCTCCCACAATGTTACCTTTAGCATCTCCACTTTTTTACTGGACTGTCGCATTTCCTTTGTAACTTTTGATCATTTTCTCTGCCCTTTCTTCGTTTCTTTATATTTTCCATTTTCGCAATTTCAGATCATCTTCCACTCTCCTATTCATATCATATATCTTCTGCTGCTTTGTATTGTATTAATTTCTTCTGAACAATAATGCGCAGCGATTCCCAGATTCTTTAAACCCATGTACTGAAGGTGCAGACTGTTTCTTGAAGGCGGCGGCTAAGGCTTCTAATGCTGCTGCTTCAGTTTCGTTGTTCTAGCAGACTTCTGAACACTCTAGAACGTGTTGAGAGGTCTGCTTGACTCTAGATGATTCTAATTCGTAAAGAATGTAAGTCACAACACCTTGGTTGAAATAGTTCATCGTTAAACCTGGAATACTTTTAGGTCTGCTCTAGTCCATTATTAACTCATACTTATTAGCCCAGTTTGGACAACAAACAGTATTGCAACAAAAAATGAAGGGGTAAAAGGTAAAATTAACCTCATCTGCGGTGCAGCGTCCGCCTACCTGTGACAAACACTGTTAGTGGAATGTAACGTGTGAGAGTGAAAGAGCAATCACTGTGATTGGCTGACATGGTAATTTCAGCGGGGGCGATGCGAGCGCACCTGGAGTTGTGTTGCTTGGAAACCTCAACACGATTCCTGCCCCAGGCGTTGAGGTCACACAGCCTTATGCAAGTACGGCACAGGTGTGTACATTGACGTCATACCTTTATATACACGCATATCTGAAGACTACATGCACTACACGACCACTTGCACTGCCGCGTCTACGCACTTTACTACCACGACCTGGAGTGATGCCAGTTATTGCAGCCTGATTACTATCCCTCCCTTCACAGAGGGAGAGAGAGAGAGAAAGGGAGGGGAGGATAAGAAGAGACTACAAATGGACCAGGACTGTCTCTCTCTCTCTCTCTCTCTCTCTCTCTCTCTCTCTCTCTCTCTCTCTCTCTCTCTCTCTCTCTCTCTCTCTCTCTCTCTCTCTCTCTCTCTCTCTCTCTTTTCTCTCACTTTCTCTCTCTCTCTTTCTCTCCTCTTCTTTTTCTCTCTCTCTCTCTCTTCTCTCTCTCTCTCTCTCTCTCTCTCTCTCTCTTCTCTCTCTCTCTCTCTCTCTCTTCTTTCTTCTCTTTTCTTCTTT